TGTGGCATCAGGATTGGAGGAAGACTCATTAACAATCCGTGATATGCAGATGACACAACCTTGCTTGCTGAAAGTAAAGAGGACTTAAAACATTTACTGATGAAGATCAAAGAGCACAGCCTTCGGTATGGATTGCATCTCAATGTCAAGAAAACAAAAATCCTCACCACTGGGCCAATAAACAACATTCTTAATGGAGAAAAGATAGAAGTTGTCAAGGACTTCATTCTTCTTGGATCAACTCTCAACACTAATGGAAGCAGCACTCAAGAGATCAAACAACGTATTGCATTAGGCACATCTGCTGCACAAGACTTTTTTACTAAAGTGTTGAAGAGCAAAGATGTAAGCTTGAGGACTAAGGTGGGCCTGATCCAAGCCATGGTATTTTCAATAACCTCATATGCATGCGAAAGCTGAACAGTGAATAATGAAGAGCATAGAAGAATTGATACTTTTGAGTTATGGTGTTGGAGGAGAATATTGAAAGTGTCATGGGCTGCCAACAGAACCAATTGATCCGTTTTGGAAGAAATGCAGCCAGAGTGCTCCTTGGAGGCCAAGATGGCCAAACTTCTTCTCTCATAATTTGGACATATTGTCAGGAGGGACCGGTTACTGGAGAAGGATAGCATGTTTGGTAAGTGGGGGGTCAGAGAAAAAGAGGAAAACCCCAATGAGATGGATTGGCCAAGTGGCAGCATCGATGGACTCAAGCGTGGCAACAGTAGTGAGGTTGACCTAGGATCGGGCAGTGTTTCATTCTGCTGTGCATAAGGTTGCTATGGGTTGGTACCAACTCGATGGCACCTAACAACAACAACAAAAAAAAAAGGAGTCCTGGTGTGGCACTATTGGTTAATGCTCTGGACTTGAGTCGCAAGGCAGGCTATTCATGTTCACCAACTGCTTCTCAGAAACCCTATACAGGGTCCCTTTGGGTCGGAACCGACCCAACAGCACTTAACAAAAACAATATTTTTTTTAAAAAAAAGGAGTCCTAGTGTGGCACTGTGGGTTAATGAGCTAGACTGCAAAGTGGGTTTGAAGCAGAAGATCAGCAGTTCAAACTCACCAGCCCTATGGAAACCCTATACAGGGTCGCTAGGGGTCGGAATCGACTCGACAGTACTTGACAACACCAACCATATATATATATGGTTTCTGAAGAGCAGCTGGTGAGCTTGAACCACCAACCTTGCAATTCAAACGGCTTTGCAGTCTGGTATGTATATATACATATATATGGAGCTCTGGTAGCATAATGGGTACGAATCGGCCTGCGAACCACAAGGTAAGCAGTTCGAAACTACCAGCTGCTCCACCGGAGAAAGATGAGGCATTCTGCTCCCATAAGGATTTACAGCCTCGGAAACCCTGATCTGGGTCGCTATGGGTTGGAACCAACTCGACAGAACTTAACAACAACAACTATATATATATATATAGTTGTTGTTGTCAGGTGCCATTGAGTCGGAACCGACTCATAGTGACCCCATGCACAGTCATATATATATAACTTATTTTATTTTATTGTGAATTGGGTGATAGTTTACATGGGAGAACATCATCTTTACATTCATCCTATCTTATTTCGTTTCACTGCAATGAATACAATCTCCTCCATTCAACATCATTTGCTTCCATTCCCTCTGTGGGTTTTTGTGGGGTTTTGTTGTTGTTGTTTATGTACACGGATGCACTCAGGAATATACAACCATTTAAACCAAAGGGCACACCCCGCAAGCCCACTCCTCTGCTGTCAGCACACAGCCCCTCTCCCTCCCTGAGTCCAGGGTCCCCAGCTGCTCCATCTCTCCGTGTCATCATCCCTGCCTCCATCTCTGGTGTCACTGTTTCTCTGGATAGGGTCCCGCACTTCGCTCTTCTCCACTGATGATCCCAGGGTCCTCTGCGCCTGGACTACAAGATCAACCACTTCCCTCCTTTTGTTACAAAATATCTACCTTTACATTTGCAACACTCACAATTACTCACTATTGAACCACAAGAGTCTTATCCCCAGCTCCTTTTACCAGCCCTGTTCAGACATGTTGGAAACCACTCAGCGGAGATTGTACCTTCCCCGTACCCTCTGAAACTTGGCTCCCTCTTGAAAGTTTGTAAGCTAGTCACTTCGTGCCTTTGTAGTCCCCCCATTTTGGGTAGCCAATGTCTAAATTGCCCATCCGTGTCAACCCTGTATACCAAGGGGGTAGGAATGATCCTTGCTGTAAAGATTCGTTCGCTTTTTTGAGCTACTACATCCATAAGTATAGGTCAAGTTCA